ACCCGCGACCCGCACATTGCGATTCAAGCGCCCTAACCACCTGACCATGCCGGGCCTACAGATGATTTGAAGATCACTTTACAAGGCTAAGCGGGTTATCAACGCTTCCACGCATAATTAACAAATCTTTAGTTCGAGACTGCACTCCAGCATATTAATTTTGTACAGGGAATTCCACACTTCTGAATTAAAATGACGGACTGCCTTAAAAATGTACAGTTTTAGTTACAAGGCGTCGTGTTGTTTGGTCTTGGATCACTTGTACTAGTTAAGGGGAGTCATGAATATTTTGTCACTTGTTTCTTAACATTTTTAATAACCCTTCTCTGTCTTTACTGATTAAATGACACTAGAGGAAACATGACATACTATTCGCCATTTCCAGCATTATTGTGAAACAAAGTTGGCTTTAGTAGTGAACACTATAATTGTTCCTTTATGAAGGTGAACCGTGCGGTCAGTGAAACGTCTAAATGATGTTACTATTTGCTGCTGTTTGGGGCCAGATAAGAATACTTCTTCTACTAAAGTATTGATATATATATGTATACGTGCATCTCATATTTAATTCAACTGTTGTGTGAATGATGAGAGTGGTTTTCCGCAACATTTTTTGCTTTAAATGCTGTGAGGAATGTAAACTGGCAGGATTCGACATTATAATATGTTTCTTTAGCGCTTTGATACTTTGGATGCTAAAGATATGCGCAGATGTATCAGTCTGTTATTTGTTTGTTTCTTGTTAAACGCAAAGCTACATAGTGGGCTATCTGTTCTGTGCCCATCACAAATATTGAAACCCGAATTTTAGCGTTATAAGCCTTCAGAATGAATAGTTTATTTTGTATCTACAAACTAATTATACTTCCATATATGCGCGCACGCATTTGTGTATATAATAAATGAATATATTTGTATGTGTATACAGATTTAGGAAAAGTTTAGGAAACAATTTGAGCGATATAAAACGCTAGTTACACTAGAGTATATTATGATTTAGTGAATCTGTTACAATGGTTTGTCTATATTATTGATTTAGTAGGTTTGTTATTCAGTTGCTGTTATGTCAGTTTTGTGAGTTTGTGATTCGTCGAAGAAAGAGATACGAGAAGTACTATAGATACGTAAAAATTAACAAATAGATGTTTTGCGTTATTTGTGAAGTTAGGCCTACCGTTATTTTATTGTTAAATCGTGAAGTAAAAAACTTGTAGTGTAATAAATAAAACACTTTCGTTAACGTTAAGTGAACTGGATTTTGTTACCAAAAGAACCCTCCAAACACTAGAAACCATTGCATTAATATATATATATATATATATATATACCGGATGATTCAGTAGTTCATTAACATTCACAAAACTCAGAAATGGAGACGAGCACAGAAAAATAATTTTTAGTGGTGTGAAATGAGGTGCTTTCGGTTTGTGATGACATCATCAAGATCATTCAAGGTCAACTTCAAATCCATACCCATCGATTGAGTTTTTTTTTCCCAAGCATCTGCTCTGTCTACCGGGGAGAATTGAACCCCGAATTTTAGCATTGTATGTCGTTAGGCTTACCGCTGTTCCTTCGGGGGACATGTCTTTCGTAGCTTTTATTAATATGCATCATACTACAACCATTTCAATAGCAAAGATGTAGACAATAATAAAAAACATTTTAAACCAAAAATGACTAAAATCGCAATATTTAATTGTCTGTTTGTTTGTTTTTGAATTTCGCGCAAAGCTACACGAGGGCTATCTGCGCTAGCCGTATCTGATTTAGTAGTGTAAGTCTAGAGGGAAGGAAGCTAGTCATCACCACCCACCGCGAACTCTTGGGCTACTCTTTTACCAACGAATAG